AGCAGGCTCCAGGCTCTGAGCACAGAGCCTGACACGGGGCTTGAATCCACAAACCGTGAGATCTGAGCTGAGGTTGGAGGCTTAACCAACTGAGTCACCCAGGTGCCCCTAAAAAAATTTTTTTTTAATGTTCACAAATTTTTGAGAGAGAGAGAGAGAGTGCAGTGCGGGAGGGGCAGAGAGACAGGGAGACATAGAATCTGAAGCAGGCTCTAGGCTCTGAGCTGTCAGCGCAGAGCCCCATGTGGGGCTTGAACTCACGAACTACAAGATCATAACCTGAATGGAAGTTGGACGCTTAACCGACTGAGCCACCCAGGTGCCCCTCCCCCTGTCAAAATAAATAAACTTAAAAAGAAGAGCTCTTTAAAAAAATAAAAATTGCAAGAATGGAAAGATAATGTTGGAGATTAGAAAATTAGAAGATGAGCCCAGGAGATTCAACATCTGAACAGTAGTTCTAGCAAGAAAGAACTTGCTAGAAGAACTTTCTATTATCAAAGAAAAAAAAAAATAGAAGCATATTGCTAGAATTGAGTGGTAATGTATTCAGATTCAAAGGGCCTACCAAATGCCCAAACCAGAGAATGAGAAAAGACTGACCTCAAGGAACATCCAAATGGAATTTGGGGATGGCAAGAGAATGTCTCAGAAGCCTCCGGAGGGTAAAAATAGGCTAGCTATCGAGAATTAGGAATCAAGAATGCCATCTTTCTTCTCAACAGCAACTGTGGAGCTGAACCCTTAAAATTCTGATGGAAAGTTATTTCCTGTCTAGAAATCAACTTTTAGTCACCTTAACACTCAACTCTGAGACTTGAATAAAGGCATCTTCAGTGTTTCAAACAATTAACTTTGGTGCATCCTTTCTCAGAAGCTACTAGATGATTTTTTCCACCAGATGAGAGGAAACCAAGAAAGAAGTCATGAGATGCAGGACACAGGGGACTCCATTCAGAGGCCAAAGACAGTCCCAAGAGGAAGATGAAGGAAGGTGACTCAGGACAGTAACATAGAGCAGATCTGGAGGACAGGTGTCCACATAGGGCAACAGGGGCCTGGAGCTGTGTGGCTAAGGCATATCTGACTGACACTGAGAGGCCACGTGCGCCATCAGAATCTGGGGGTGCATTGGTAAGAGATTCTTGAAAAACAGGCAGAATGAAACACACTCTAGTTCTTTTCACTCCAGAAAAAAAAAAAGTCGTACAAGCAAGGAAACATATGTGTAGTATTCTATGAAATCATAATACAAACTCTGAATATGGATTTAATGATGGTTTTCTAAATTGGGAGGAGGGGGCCTATGTGTGTTGTGGGGTGGGATGCAATAACTAAACGCTCAGCTTTGATAGCAGAAGGTTCACAAGTAACGTCTAATATGACAGAAATCAAGAAACAGTAGAAGGCGCATGCTGTTTAGAAATATGGCTGTAAATAGAAGGAGCAGTTGAGAATTCAAAGTTGTTGCTTCTGAGAGGTAGGAATCAGCGATGGGGAGAGGTAGGGAAGGAGACACTGGTTTTTATTGTGTCTCCTGTAGTACCATTTGCATTTTTTTAATGTTTATTTTTGACACACACACACACACACGCACGCACGCACGCACGCACACACACACACAGCATGAGCTGGGGAGAGGCAGAGAGAGAGAGGACGACAGAAGATCCAAAGCAGGTTCTGTGCTGACAGCAGAGAGCCCAATGTGGGGCTTGAACTCAGGAACCATGAGATCGTGACCTGAGCTGAAGTTAGACACTTAACTGACTGAGCCACCCAGGTGTCCCAAGAAGCTGTTTTTAGAGACGCTGTGAGTTAAAAGAATCATTGAAGAGGTGGCCAAAAAAAGTCAGTTAGGATGCTAACCCTGAAAATTGAGAAAGATACCGGACTGAAGCATGACAGTTATGTGAGTAAGGTAAGGATGCAGACAAGATGAAATGAGAAGGTAGTTAGAATAAAGCCTTTCCAGCCCATATAGTGTAATCCATATTGGGTTCCCTTTGCATTGAGTTAATGCTATTTTCTTCAGTGGTATCACTTTCTTATCTTTTTAAGGCCCCTTTATCCCTCTTCCCCTTTCAAACTTATAGTGGAAAATCAGGCATGTACCAAATTTGAGAGAATAGTACAATGAATCCCTGCTAACTACCACCTGGTTGTAACAACTGATAACATTTTGTTTCATCTGACCTCCTACTTTTCAGGGAAGGGACTGATGAATTTTAGAGCAAATCCCAGATGTCATATCTTTTGAACCATAAATATATCATATACATCTCTAACAGGTAAGGGTTTAAGAAAAAAAAAAAAAAACTGGGGGTACCTGGCTGGCTCAGTCCATAGAGCATGTGATTCTTGATCTCATTTTCGTGAGTTTGAGCCCCACGTTGTGCATAGAGATTCCTTAAAAAAACAACAAACTAAAATACCATTATCCCACCCAACAAAATTAACGACATTTCTTTGCTTCATGTCACCCAGTCCTTGTTCCATTCTCCCCAATTGTCTTAAAAATATTTTTACAGTTGATTTGGGTCAGATTCAAACTCAAGATCATCACATTAGTTTTGGCTGATATGTCTCATAAGGCTCTTTTATTATTTTTTATTTATTTTTTATTTTTTAAAATTTACATCCAAATTAGCATATAGTGCAACAATGATTTCGGGAGTAGATTCCTTAGTGCCCCTTACCCATTTAGCCCATCCCCCTCCCACAACCCCTCCAGCAACCCTCAGTTTATTCTCCATATTTATGTGTCTGTTTTGTTTTGTCCCCCTCCCTGTTTTTATATTATTTTTGTTTCCCTTCCCTTATGTTCATCTGTTTTGTCTCTTAAAGTCCTCAGATGAGTGAAGTCGTATGATTTTTGTCTTTCTCTGACTAATTTCACTTAGCATAATATCCTCCAGTTCCATCCATGTAGTTGCAAATGGCAAGATTTCATTCTTTTTGATTGCCAAGTAATACTCTATTGTATATATATATACCACATTTCCTGTATCCATTCATCCATGGATGGACATTTGGGCTCTTTCCATACTTTGGCTATTGTGGATAGTGCTGCTATAAACATGGGGGTGCATGTGTCCCTTCGAAACAGCACACCTGGATCCCGTGGATAAATGCCTAGTAGTGCAATTGGTGGGTCGTAGGGTAGTTCTATTTTTAGTTTTTTGAGGAACCTCCATACTGTTTTCCAGAGTGGCCGCACCAGCTTGCATTCCCATCATAAGTCTCTTTTAACCTGTAAGTTTCCCCACTCT